GCATTTCACAGGACCAAGAGAACACAACAGTTATTCCGGAGATACAGGTACAGATTTGTAGAGGTGAACAAGCTGCCCAGGACATACAGTTAAATAAAAACGGTCACATGCTAGTACCTGTGCTAGAAGCCTATTCGTGTAAAGTGTCTTGTGCATGTTCCAATCAACCAGGCGCTCCTTGGAAACCCCACGGGGCAGTTCTGCTCTGTCCTACAGGGTCGTTATGAGTCAGAATCGGATCAACTCGATGGCAACAGTTTCTGTGTTGTTTTTTTTTTAATCTATGCATCTGTATATACACAACATACTGTCGCTGCTATTGTGTCAGGCTCCGCAGGCTTGAGAGAGTCCCCAGGAGGACTCACAGGGCTCAGCACACATATGTATTCAAGGCTATGATCATTACAGTGACAGGGGACAAAGCAAACTCAGCAAAGGAAAAAGAACACGGGGCAAAGTCCAGGGAAACCAGGTGCAAGCTTCCAAGCGTCGCCCCGAGTCTCTCTCTCTCTCTCTCACACACCCCCAAGAACCAGCAGCCATCGAGTCAATTCTGATTCACGGTGGCCCCGTGTGTCGGAATAGAACTGTACTCCACAGAGTTTCCAATGGCTGCAATCTTACGGAAGCAGACTGCCAGGTATTTCTTCTACGGAGCCGCTGGGTGGATTCGAACCACCAACCTTTCGCCAACAACAAACCATCTGTGTTACCCAGGGACCCGGCATCCCACGAGACGTGTTTAATTACCCCCAGCCAGATTTATGAAGACACACGTGAAATGCGGCCAACCAAGGAAACTCGAGAGAGACTCGGTGCCCAGGGTTTTACCGGGGGCTGGTCACGTAGCCAGCCTCCGCCTGGAATGTACAAAAATTCCAGACGCCCAGAAACAAGGCAGGTGTTCAGCATAAATCAGACCGCAGTTAAGGCACAGTGAGCAACTCTCATCAGCAGTCCTGTGAATGGCAGTAGCCTCCTGAGATCCAAGTTCCCAGGTGCCAGACAAGGGTCAACCTTGCACGCAGGCCTTCAAAGGACAGCAGCAGGCCCATTATGTTAACTCTTTTCTACCCAGCTATTTGCCAGGCACCTAGTTAATGCACTCAGCTGCTAACTAAAGGTTGGAGGTTCAAGTTCACCCAGAGGCATCTCGGAAGAAAGGCCTGGCAATCCACTTCCAAAAAAAATCAGGCATTGAAAGTCCTATGCAGGACACTCTGACACCCATGGTGTTGTCATGAGTCAGAACTGACCCATGACAGCTGGCAGTAGTGGTCTGATATACCAGGTACTCTGCTCAGTGTTTTGCATCTGAACACAGTATCATTTAATCCTCACAACATCCCTGAGGCGCACGCGTTAACTCCACCTCATAAATGAGCAAACAGACTCAAAAAAGTTAAAGAGACTTGACTCATGTCCACAGCTATTAAACAGGGAGCTCGGGAGCCCAGCCCAGCTCTCTCTGATTCCGCAACAGAACACACTCGACCACGCACTCCAAGACATTAATTTTAGAAGCACATTCACCAAAAATGTTAACAACAGCTCTCTCCAGATGAGGAGATTTCTTCTTTTTGTTTTTCAGTATTGTTAGAATACACGTTGAGATGAAGGATCCCTGGAGGTGCAATGGCTAAGTGCTCAACTATCCAAACCTACCAGCCGCTCCAAGGGAGAAAAATGTGGCAAACTGCTTCTGGAAAGATTACAACCTTGGAAACCCTATGGAGCAGTTCTACTCTGTCCTACTGAGTCAGGACCAACTTGACAGCACACAACACACACACACACACACACACACACACACACACACGCTCACTCTGAAGTGCGCATGCATTATTTTTGATATCTTAGATAACAAAGGTATTTTAATTGGAAAAATACAAAAGAAAGAAAACTGTCCCATTATCACATTCTTCTACCCAGTAGCCCAAAAGTAATATTTAATCTCCAACTAAATAAACCCATAAAATATATTTGGTGTGAGTTGCCAAAACACCAATTACTTAGAGGAGAAACCATTACATTCAATCTCTGATGGAACAGTTCAATCATAAATAAAAATTCTGGATTAGTCCATTAACAAAGGATCTTCTGGCTCTCAACTCCTATTCTTCCAACACATCCACAGTAACTGCCAGGAGAGCATCCTCCTTCCCTACTGAACCATTTTAAATGGCTGCCCGCTACCATTAGCAGCCACTGAAAGCCCTACGCGTCGCCAATAAAGTCCAAAATACTCCTAGTTAAGTCACTAAACCAAAAACCAAATCTGTTGCCGTCGAGTCGATTCTGACTCATAGTCACCCTGTAGGACAGAGTAGAACTGCCCCATAGAGTTTCCAAGGAGCGCCTGGTGGGTTCAAACTGCCGACCATTTGGTTAGCAGCCGTAGCTCTTAACCACTACGCCACCAGGGTTTCCAGTAAAGTCCAAACCACTACTAATCTCATATCCAAGTCTTCCACAACCAGGCCCACATTCCCTTCCTAAGCTCATCTCCCATTCCTCCCCAGCATGAAGGCTACACTCCAGCTACATTCAGGCCCCCTGAATGTCCTATCTGGAATGTTTTCTCAAGCACTAACCTCTGTCAGAATCCAACCATCTCCTGAGGGCCAAAACGGAAAAGCCAACTTGGAAACGAAGCCCGCTGGACAGACGTGTCCTACACAGGAATGTACACAGGAAACATAATCACCTATCTCTAGAACGGGCCATGTCAACAAGCACTGAACATTACAAGGCATATTTCAAATAATTTTCATGGCCCGGTGACAAACAGTATTTCATGAAAGTTATGAGAACATTATGAGAACACTGATTATAACAGAGATTAGTTTACAGAACACTCTGCCAATCAATCTATGACTCATACTTTCTGAAGGGCTAGAATTTTAATTTTCTACTTACTTAAAGAGCACTTTTGGACTTACTCAGGTATTCTATGAACAGATGAGCAAAATATGAACCAAAAAAACCAGCGTGTTCTATGTCACCAAGAGTACTGGCGATACATTATTTCTTCAAAGAGCGCTCCACTATTGTCTCCAGGGTTTGCTTCCAATCAGCGGCTTCCAATTCCAAGTTTTGACGCAGAGACACAAAGACAACTAAGTCGTGACATCACATGACTGACAGCAACTGTAAGATACACCCCAATCTCAGAGATGTTAAAATATGAAAAAGGTAAGTTTGTTTTAGAAACGATTAAAGTGAGGGCTTCAATAAAATATACAGAAACTCCACTTTTTGAGAATGAAAACACTGTATTACGATGGGCAGAGAACAAATACCTACAACAGAAACTCGTTCTTCTCTTTGAATCAATGCCAGATCGATGTCATCACCCAGCACAGACCCCTTTCGGCTTCTTCCGCGCTCCAGTCTGCTCCCTGCGTCCTGGTCTGAGTGTTCCCTCTATGCTGAGGTCCTCCGCGGCACCAGTCAGAGCTGGCAGGAGAAGCGGGCTGCCTGCAGCTCTTTGCTGAAAGAAGCTATTCCTTGTTCCCTGGTACCCGCAGTATCCTCTTCTCTGATACAGCAAAACCTCCAGGACCTACCCAATCTGAGCCACGGACAGAGAGAGCAAGCTTCCTATGAAAATGATCATCCCATTAAACAGAATGACCGCATAGTGAATCCAGTAATGCCCATTTTTAAATACAGCAGCAGCGTTTTTTAAGCCTTTTAAAATATTTTTGGTAGGGAAATAGAAGTTTCAAAAGGCCTCATTTTCATTCAGTTCATAAATATTTACTCAATGCCACACATTTACACCTGTGCTGGGCTTGGGGCTAAAACCCCAAGAGAAGTAAGTTCCTGCCATATCAGGCATCGCCCAGTGAACAGGAGAGAAACACAAACAAGACAGGGTAAATATTTCACTTGCTTTTTAGGTTTAATCTAGACTTCTCTTTTTCTTTAAGTTTCGAAGGAAGGGCTATAAGAACAACGTATCAAAATGTCAGCAATCTAAAAATTAAGTTGTCAGCTTTTCCTCTGTACTGCAAATTACAAAAGAATTAGGGGTTTGGTGCTAATAGAAGCTTACAATTCTCAAGTGTGCAATTTAACCAATCACCCCAGTGTCTAAAAATGGAGTACTAAAGACATTTCAAGCCAGCGATCTGCAGTTTCTAGTACGTCATTTCAACTTCTCTACTTTAGCCATTCTTCCCATTTTTTCTTCCTTTTGCTTTTGTAATGTGCTCTGCAACAGCTACAGAATTAAGTAATCCGGGACTATGCAGAGCTCTTATACAACACACACACACACACGCAAAAATGACACTCAGCCAGGAGGAACAGACAAGAGAAGGGACATCTGCAGTTCCTCTTGTGGTTCTTCGTTTCTTTCAACCCACATTAAATTCAGGAATCAAAGCATGAAATGTACTTCAGTGTTTCAGAATTTCAGTCCTCCTTTTACAATTTATTCAACACAATTTGGGGTAAAGCGTGTCTGTGATAATGTCTTCACCAGATGTCTCAATTAGGATAAAAATGCTAAATCATAAGATAGCTTTCAACTATAACAGAAATTTAAATGGAAATAAGTTTCCCCAAATCATTGCAGATATCTTCACTTGTGAAATCCCGTTTGTCTTCTTTTTTCAATTGCCAACTGCAATTACATCACTTAAAAATAAATCAGAAAGAACACTGCCTGCCCAGGAAATAAACTCTATCTTTACAGACACTAAATACTTTTAAGAAATCTGAACCACAAATTTAGGAAGAATGCTATTTTAGTACAAAGAGAAGTAAGAAATATATTAACTCCATGCATAAATAAAAACAGATTCATTATTCTTGTTTTTCTGATGTTTTAAATGGCCCTTTTTGAAGACGACAGTATTTTCCTCAATAAAAGGAAGAGTTAATGATTTCTACTATTTCACACAAAAAAGAGACCCTTCTGCCTCGCTCTATGAGGCACACCCTCCCAAGCTGTCCCTGCATTCGGTCTGCCTTCCACTGCCCAACAATACCTGACTGTTGCAGCTCAGCTCGAGACAGGAGACTCCCATTCACACAGCAGGCAAAGTTAGAGCCAGCCGGGATGCTTCAGGGCGTCTGCTTGGCCGGCCCCACCCTTGCTTCCTCTGAGCCATAGTGATGTCACAACACAGGGCCGAGCAATGACTTCACCGCTCGGGTCCTGGCTTCTGAGCACATAATTCTTTGCAGCCAAGGCAAATCAAATGACAGCAAGTAACAGGAGAAGGTCCAGGAGCCCTGAGCTTCTGGTGAATTCCCAACAAATTAGCAGCTAGCCAGCCTTCTGAAACAAACAGATGTAGCAGCTAAGGAACTCTTCTAAATGAAGTGGTGCTAAAGAGAAATCGGATTCACGGTTTTCAATGCTGGCTCCAAATTCCACAATAAAGATGACATTCAAGAGGAAAATTGTGGGAGGCCACTCGGAAGAGCCAAGAGGAGCTACAGAGAACCAGGGTAGACTACTTAAAAAACCTCTCTCGTCATTACGGTCAAAGTTTTACAGAAAAGAAACATGTATTTATTTTTCAGTCTACTCTTGGAGTTCTATTTTCACCCCCGAGGACATGGTTACTAATTTGTGAATTTTAAGAAAACATTTACTTAAAAAATGAACGTATAAACGTTCAAGAAAACACCTTGAACAAACTCCTGCTGTATGCTTAGTCCAATATATACCAAGCCAAACCCACTGCCCTCGAGCGGATTCCGACTCACAGCAACCCTACAGGACACAGTAGAACTGCCCCACAGGGTTTCCAAGGCCATAATCTTTACAGAAGCAGACTGCCACATCTTACTCCCACGGAGCGGCTGATGTGTTCAAACCGCCAACCTTTCATATAGCAGCCAAGTGCTTTAACCACTGTCCCACCAGGGCTCCTCTAGTCCAAGACATAGTAAATCCAAAAAAGATTCCCAAGTCCGTGACATCACATCCCTCCATACATAAATAGTTGCTGTTCTTCTACCTAGGGGGTGCCTTAATTCATCTGATCAACCAATTTTTTAAAAACCAATGTATATTTAAAATATTTCATCAAGTTAAAAAAAAAACCTTCATCTTGTATTTCAGCACAGTTCAAAGTTGGCCAAAGTCCGAGTACAGTACAAGAATTGACAAAACTGCTTTAAACCTAGCAGACGTTCATGCATAAGAAATGACTTAAAAATTAAATGTAAATATTTCACTAAGACACTAACCTTCGCCCTAAAGGTCTGCAATCTTTTCCTTAAAAGGGGAAATTAAATAAACTGGGGACTTTTTCTGTTATTGAGAAATCATTCCCAAAACAGCATACTGTTTTGCAAAATTTATCTGCCAAAAGCGTATTAACTAGATAAACTTTATGCAGTAACTCATGCGTCTCTATTTTACTCTCCTAAGCCATCAGAAAATCATAACGCAAAGGAGACTACTTCTAATGACCTATTTGATTTTCATTTAAAATTAACAAATTGAAGTCACATTTCTCCAATTTGGAATTTTTTTCCTCCCATAGTAACTCTGTTACACTCCAACCAAAGTTTTAAAAGTTTGATACCAAAACTAACAAGTGTTTTTTTTAAAACTTCCTCTGAGCCAAGATATAAATCACCTCCCAGTCCCCATAGCTCACTGAAGCTTGACAAGCTGCTCTGTTTCTTAATAGCGCTCTTCCGCTTAATTCACTGTAATTGCTGCAATGTCCATGGCTCCCAGAAATAAGCGGTTTCATCTTTTTCCTTGAGACTTCAAAAATCTCTAAAATTCAAACAGAATGTTTTCAGCACATGGGGAGATGCTCACACCCGGCCGTCACAGAGAGCCTAGGCTGGGCCAAAAAAGATAGGCAGAATATCTGCAGAAACGATTCCACCAAAGTAAGGTATAAAAGCCGACGCACCAAACTTAAAACCGTCATGGAAACACTGCCTAAGCAGCACTGCGGGACCCTCCCAGGATTTCCCAGCCCGGCCTCCAGCGTAATTAATACCACATGCGTTCTTTATCTTTCCATTCGTTCTGCAACACTCTCTTCCCAACTTTAACTCTGAGCTGCAACTAGAGGAAAAACCCCAAGAAAACTTCAGATCGGTAAATACAAAAACATAAAAGTAAGGACTGCTCCCAGCGCAAGGGACCACAGTTCCAATTTACTAGGTAACCACACCCACCGCATTGCAGAAACCGTGAACTTGGCGGGAAGGAGGGGGGGGACAAGAGGGGGGAGGGGAACAAGTAGGGACGAGGTTAGAGGAGCAATCCAAGACAACAAGCCCCAAAGCAGGACCCAGGAAATACCCGCAAGCAATCAGCTAGAGCAAAACTCCCGCGGCGGGAGCCCCGGGCCTCCCCACCCCCAGCCGCCGCAGGGCCGCCTCCGCA